AAGCATACTATGCAACTCAACCAAACAGCGGAAAGACCTGTTACTGACATACACTGAACACCAGGGGGCAGACGCTCAATGCAGGAGCTGCCTCCTGGTGGTCAGTGTGCTCCCACGGGGAGCACTGCTCAGCCAGAAGCCAGGCTGAGGGATCCCTCCCGCCCCCGCCCCCCTTCTCCCCCCCAGTGCATGAATCTCATGCACCCGGCCTCTAGTGTAATCCCATGTGTAAGTGAATGTGTGAGAAAGATTTTGTTTCTAAGTAAGAACCATGGATTTCAAATAAATCGAAAAACACTCATGATTTTTGTAAGGGTTAGGATTTGCAGTGTTGATAAGCCTTTGGGATTATAGACTTGATAGTAGTGTGTTGGTATTAATACGCTATAGTAATTGCTAGAATCCAAGTAATTTCAAATGTTGGAAGTAGCATTGTGTTGAAAATCCACAAAGAATTTCATAAACTTTTTATGGAAACCAGAAATGCATTAGGGTCTCAGAAATTAGTAATGTATTACTAAAATGAAAAAAAAAAGAAAAAAAGAATGAAAAATATGCTTGTCTTCTGATCCTGGGAGTATTCTTTAGTGACCAGGATTATGACCAAGACTTAATCCTAAACAAGCAGTTAACTGTTGGAGAGTAAATGCAACTCACTAAATAAAGGAAATTATATTCCACTTACTGATTTTCTAAATTTAGGTCAGGAGTTTTGTTGTCTGATTTTGTACCTAATCATTTCTGAAAGGTAATCATCTTAGTTTACTGTTATTTTTAGAATGAAGCACTGAGAAGTGAAGAAGGCTGCATTCCAAATGTCGCCCCAGACATCTGCATAGCATATAAACTGCACCTCGAGTGCAGCAGGCTAATCAACCTTGTGGACTGGTCAGAGGTAAGTGGAGGAAGAAGAGCAAACTGTATATTTGTACATTATCCATGACACTTTTCCTGGGATGTTTTTCTTAATGTCTTTTTTGGAAAGCATAAATCACCTCATGCTTCAGAAATTTCTCCAAAATAGCAGCTTACTGTTCAACAGTCCCACCCCAATCCCCTGCACTCTGACCCAAGCCAATGGTGCATTCATGGGATCAAATCCAAGGTAACAGTAAGCAGAAGCTGAGCAGTTTAGATCAATTTTGTTATTCCACAAAGTAAAAGTATGTTAACTACCATTTCTCTTACAGCATAAACAAAAAAAAACACCCATTAAAATAATTACACTAGCAATGAGGAAGCACAAGGAATAGTTGGCAAGGCCATGGACAACTGTTGTTCTTATTTTAAGTAACGATTCTTTCCCTCCTCAGAGTATTACAGAGTTAACTGTTGAAGGCCCTATTTTACAGATCTGTTGTCACCACTTAAAAATAATTGGCTGCTTCCAAGAAAAACGCATTTTGCTGGGGTAATGGAGGTTGGGAGTAGAGGATTCAGTGCACCCTTTGCTTTTCAACTTTGACTAGTAATTTTTCTCTGCACATTTCTTCTCTGAAATAACATTATTCAGGAACCACTCTATTATCTTTTAATGTGTATTTGATTTAAAGTGAATATCAGTATAGTTTTGAGAATCTGAAACTTGGGAGTAATTGTTAAAAACCTGGCTTCATATAGAGCCATCAAGGGCAATTAAAGATGTTTGGCAACAGTAGAGATTTTTATTTTCTTCTGTCTTCTCTCTCAAAAGGCTTTTGCAACAGTTGTGACAGCTGCTGAAAAAACAGATGCCAATTCTATAACCTCAGAAGAAAGGAATGACATTATTCAGTATCCTTTTAAAACCACTCTGCAATGTCCAAGTATATGTGTAGAATGTTTATAATTTTCTAAGATCTACATTTGAGATTTATAAAGACGTGATGCAGCCAACCTTACTGATATTAACCATTCCATCCCAGAATGTTTCTAAATATTTAATCCAAACCATCTAAAATGAGGTCAAATATAAAATACTTGGTTTGAAACTTATAGCAACATCATATTCCAAAATTCACCAAAAATATCCAAAACTGTCATTATTGAATTCTCTATTTTTATAAGTTTATTAATGTACTTTCAGTTTTCATACTATGGAAAAAAATTAGGTAAATATTAAGCACTTTCTGGTCATACCTTATTGACTGGATTCTAATTACATTTAATTGTTTCCCTTAAGGGTTGTTTAATTTAGGAGTATATTTTGAACTATATTTCCGTTTACTAATGTTTTAACATTGATATTTTAACCTCTTGTCAAAATACAACAAGGCCAATTTCCTTAACTTTATCTTCCAGTGCTCGGTTCATTAGAGCTGTTTCTGAACTGGAACTTCTAGGATTTGTAAAGCCTACCAAACAGAAGACTGACCACGTGGCAAGGCTAACATGGGGAGGCTGCTAGAAAGCAAATGAATGAAGCCACAAGGATCACATTTAGTTTAAAAGAAGAGAGAGACCAGTCATACATACTTACCACTAGAGGACAAATGTATAATCCCCACATGATGTTTAACCAGAAAGTAGACTGTCAATCCCAAACAGGACTATATCAAAACACTTTCGGCATACTTTGGAATCCAGTAACAAGCTTACATTGTAACTGAAACCTTTCTCACATTGTCACTAATTTTCATATTAATAAAATGTTCTTGAACATAGTCTGTAAATGTAATAACTTTATTCAGGAGTATAAAGTATTTGCGGTTGATTTAATAGTACTCATTCCTACTCCAAGACATTTTGGAGACATGGGAAAATCTGAGTATGGACTGGATGTTAAATTAATTAAGGGAGTATTATTTTAAGTGAGATAATAGTTTCTAGTTATATAGGACTACCTTATTCTTAGAAGCTGCACTATGTATGTTCTTTGAAATAAATATAAACATATAAACAAATATGGTACAGTAACTGTTCACTTTAAATGTATTTATTGACTGTTTTCAGCTTGAATGTTCTCTGAATAAAAAAGTGGGAACGAAGAAAATTCTTGAGTTTTGCTCTAAAGGTTATTATAAAGCAGAAAAAACGGTAATAGAGCTAGAGGGGGATTACAGGATTAAAAGATTTCTAATGGCATGTTTATTATGCTTATGGGAAAAAACACAGATGCAGGAGAGAGGACTGCTAGACTGGTCTTTTAATGAGAGGATTTTGGATCTAGTTTTTACCTAGAACGTAGGAACAATTTTTGGAGCCATGTCTGAGTATACAGGGACAGGTTATTAGGTGCTTTAGCTGAATATTCACTTATTAAAACCAATTACTGTATAATTTTGAAGGGAGTAGATAACCCAAATAAGATAATCACTCCCACCTAGGGAACATATTAAACAGATTCTAACAGTCCTTCCCTCCCTCATCTCCTAAAGCAGTCTCTGGGTTTAGAACATGGGATCTTTCCTAGTTTTCCAGTTAATATTGTGATGCCAAAAAAAAAAAAAAGTTGTCACTCCAATAAATTTAAAAATCCAGTTTTATATTTAATACTATGTGAAAACTTACATACTAAAAAAGAACGTTCATTCATATTCTGATAAAATATATTCATAGTCACTCCAGATTTTAACTTCCTACTTGAATTCTCCTAAAAATGCTATCCCACTATATCATTGGTTCTCAGCTGGGGACTGTCTCCTCCCCCTACCCTCGGCATTTGGCAGTATCTGGAGGTACATTTTGATTGTCTCAACAGGGGATTTGGGGGAGAATGCTACTGTTATCTAGTGGGAGAGGCCAGAGATGCTGCTAAATGTCCTATACTACACAGGATAACCCCGCAAAGAATCATCTGGCTCAAATTGATGTGTTGCAGTTGAGAATCTGTATTAGTCCATTAAAACCAGATAGAATCCCCCCTCCCCCCACTTATTGATGGCACCTTGTGTCATACCAGTGTTTCTCAAACATTTAATGGGCATATCAATTACCTGGAGATCTTGTGAAAGTTCTGTACCTCATTTTGGCCTTATTTTAAACAAAGAATTGGTAAAAGATAATCACTAAAGTTTTTATAAAGGATAAATAAGCATTTTGCTTTCTCTGACAGATTAGGTCATATATAAATCCTATCTATACTAGTAAGAGTAATGTGCAGATTAACTGTCACTCTGCGACAGATGGTGGCACCCATAGCCACAAAGATGGCGGCACTGGCTAGAGCCCCATAGCAGGCTGGAGCAGGCGGGACACTTGGCTTCCTGTAAACCCAGGCCGGCCGGCCGCCCAGAGCCGGCTCCAGCCTGGAGCAAAGGCCCGGGTCCCAGGTGCAGGAGGGAAGCCGGTGCGGCAGCCAGGAAAGGAAGGCCTATTCTTGCACACATCTTCGTGCATCAGGCCTCTAGTCCTATATAATAAAACCCTAATATGTAAATCAAACAAATGGAGGTCACTATGACATGCACTGACCACCAGGGGGCAGATGCTCAATGTAGGAGCTGTCTCCTGGTGGTTGGTGCACTCCCACAGGGGGAGTGCTGCTCAGCCAGAAGTAGGGCTCAGGACTGACAAGCGCAGTGGCGGTTCTGGGGAGCCTCTGCCATGCGGGCGGTAAGGAGCAAGAGGTCCCGGACTGCAAAAGGCACAGGCTGGGCTGAGGGACGCCCCCCCAAGTGCACGAAATTTCATGCACCAGGTCTCTAGTGTATATATAAAATATCTCCTAGGCTATTTATGACTAGGATATGCTAATAGCATTCACTGAAGCATTTCCATTCATTTCATTATAGGAGAACTTTGTTGAAAGTGACTTAAATGTGCTTTTGAAGTAAAACTTCCAAAGCTATTAAAACTGATCAATCATGTAACCTTCTATCATGCAGTCAGTTATAAGCAATTTGGAATCAGACTCAGCTTTTGAATATAGCACTCAAATCTTAGATTTGGTCAATGAAAATACTGATATTTAAGTCTTATCTTTTAAGTCAGATTAAATTGATGGTTCCTGGAAAATGCTTACATTTAAAACATTGCCTTTATTCAAATACTACCCATCTGTACATTAAAAAACAAGCAGATTAGAAGTAAAGGTTTTATTCTTCCAACTAAATTCCAGTACTACAAGGGCAGTAAAACAATGATACACTGGGGGGCGGGGGAAATGCAGCAATAAACATTTGTTAAAAAGACTGATAGAATAAATAAAAACTACCAAAAAAAAAAAAAAAGGAGAGAGAAAATCATATAAATCCATTTTGAAACCCCGAGAAGAAATGCCCTTCTCCTTCACTATTTCACAGGAAGCACTGTAGGCTATTTGCTTAATAATGTCCTGGGATTACATTCTAAATTATTAATAACTGGTTACAGCTTGTAGTGCACAATTAAAATCACACTAACTTCATCTGAAGTGTCATTCTACAGTTTTATTTACATAACCAGTGAAGGGCATGTTCTTAGAATACCAGCGCTAATCCTTTCAAACATATTAATATAAGAAGCCAAATTGTAATGATACAGCAAGTGAGACCACTGGTATTAATACAGGTAGCAAAGGTCCATATCCAGGTGGTACTGACATCAGGGAAATTTCCAAAACCAGTTGCTGCCTAAGAGTAATTGTCACTGACGAAAGCTTGAAATAACCTGTATTCACAGGGGGGTATTCGCATTGCTGCATGTCATAATTGGGACCTCTTGCAACAATTCAACAAGGAACAAGGCAGCTCACAAATGCAGAAAATGTGATTCATGAAACATCTAAAGGGGGAGGAAAGGGAAAATTAGTGCAAAGTCCAATTCAAAATTCAAACATATACCAGATCTCTATTCCCAATATTGCTCCAGGTCAGCAATTTTCAACCATTTTCATCTCATGGCACACATAAACTAATTACTAACACTCTGCAGCATACCAAAAAAAATATTTTTGCCCATCAGACAAAAAAGGTATAATTTTGATTCATTCACACCCAATGGCTGCTGTTTTTATCTGACAATCTAAGGGGAAAGGTCAGTGCTCCTAACTAGTCAGGTATTCCATGTTTTAAAAATTCTTTCAGCACACTGGTTAAAAAAATCACTGCCCTACATACTTAAATAATAAAAAATAAGCCTTTGTAAAATGTCCTATTTCCACCAGGGTTTTCCCACCATTTTCTGTTTAATTCTCTTCTTAAGTATAAAGATAATTATAATAAATGTCTTAAAAGATTGTCTTGTTTTCAGCTCATATATGCAATACTTACAACTAGCAGGCTGTTCTCCATATCGTCGCATTATTTGATCATGTGTAAACTTCACAAATGCATCATATTGTTCTATAAATAAAGTTATATGTGAATTACATGGCTTGTAAATGTCCTCTGTAATAAATTAGAGCCAGATAAACTGAAAACTCCAGTATGTATAGTGAAACAATTCTAAGTTGGCACTTAATCCGACACAAAACCTCAGTAATAATGATAATGTATCATATAAAAATCCACATTTTAGTCCACAACACAAGACCATGTATAGGTTGGGTAGGGCATATTTCTTAACCTATTAAAAATAAAGGGTTTGAAATAAAAAGATGTCTTTCTACTCTGAAATTATATTGTCTATTAAATGGCAAATTTACTGCAACGAGAGAAAATAAGACAACACTTAACAACCCAGGCATGTGTCCTGACTGGGAATTGAGCCAGGGACCTCCTAGTTCCATGGGTCTATGCTCAACCCATAGAGCCACACCAGCCAGGCTATATTAGCACCTTGATTTAACTCCTTAAGAATCAAAAAGCTTATAATATTGCTATCCCGCAAAATCTGCATAAAAATGGGGGTGGGAGGATTCTGATTACGTTACCACATGTAACACATTGTCTTTACTGCAAATTTTACAAAAAAAATTTTTTTGATAAATTAAGACTGCAGCAGCCCTGCCAGTGTGGCTCAGTGGCTGAGCATCAACCCAGGAACCTAGAGGTCATGGTTCGATTTCTGGTCAGGGCACACACTCAGGTCACCGGCTCCAATCCCCATTTTGGGGCGTGCAGGAGGCAGCCAATTTATGATGTTCCTCTCTCATAGATGTTTCTATCCCTCTATCCCTCTCCTTTCTCTAAAAATCAATGAAAGCATACTTAAAAAAAAAAGGCTACAGCAGCTTGATACTCTAAATTGATGTGCAATACTCACTAGATTATTTCAAGTTTCTAGTCAAAGTTGATGGCAAAGTTACCACGAAAGAAATAAAGCCCAAAATATCAGAAAAAAATAAATCTAGTTCATTAATATTGGTGCTGATCTACATGGCTAACAAATACCACTATTTCTTGAAGTTACTGAGGGCCATGAGCTACACAAAGATGCATTTCCTTTCTTGAACTGAAATTCTCTGGTTCTTAGAAAACATTGTACCAGTGTATACAGAAAGGAGTAATTTAATTGACATGAAGTATAATTTGGAAATAATGCATTTCTTAAGGTGAGTTTCTGGGAGACTAAATAAACTCATACCTGCAAGTTTTGTGTTCAGTATTTCTTCATACTCTTCTCGAACTTTCTCTTCACGTTCTTTCAACAAACGTTCACAGATCATCCCAACCTGCCGTAGAGTGAATAAGGGCTGTTCTTTTTTTAAAGGTGAGGATGTTGCAGATGAAGTCCCTATGTATAACATGAAGAACAGAGAAAAGCAACTGATTTAGGGCTGCCATAGAAAAGCGTCTTGTAATGGAAGAGGTCTCATTTGAATCTTTTGCTGTGATTGGAAAAACAGAAAGATGAATGCAATCATATATCAAGAGTAAAAGTCTGAAGATGAGTGGAGAAAACTATAAAATACAAACAAAGTTTAATAAAGTTTGTTTTTTTAGTGATATTAGCTAGGAGACCACTGTAAAAATAAATACTGAGAATATATTGTTAATATTCAGTATTAAATTTAATGGATCAGAGTCCTTAAAGATTATTGATCTAAAAAGCCACTTGGCATAACCAGATAGTTATGCTTGATACAAAAGATTTCTTTCTTCAGCCCTGGCTAGGTGGCTCACTTGGTTGGCATGTTTTCCTGTATACCAAAAGGCTGTGGGTTGCATTCCTGGTTGGGGCACGTATGAGAGGCAACTGATTGATGTCTGTCTCTCTCTCCCTCCCTCCCTCTACCCGCCTCTCTCCAAATCAATGAAAATATATCCTGGGGTGAAGATTAAAGAAAAAAAAAAAGATTTCTAAGAATGTATTCCTCTTAAGGCAATTTTATTTTCAAAAAATATTCCTCATGTCTTAAAAAGAACATCTAAAATTAATCTTTTTGAGAACTCAGAACTGATGAGCATCTATTATAACATTGCTGCAAGTATTTTATGACACAAATACATAGATTTGCTATCAACAGTTTTTCCTGCTATGTGTATCTGTTCCTGGTGTAGCCTCAATTCCTCTTTTCATTTGCTCCTTATAATCTGTATGACTGAGACCAGTTAACTAACTGCTTCTTAGAGCTATGTCTATAGTAAGAATAAAGTATCCCAGAACTTTATTTATACCACCTAAAATAATGCATAACCACTACGGCTATGTTTATTTACTTTCAAATTCCCAGCTTTGTTAGTTGAACCTGACAGTTAATTGATCTATGAAATAAACAGACTAATGAATGATTATGATCTTCATCCTACATAGTCTAGTCCAGTGATGGCGAACCTTTTGAGCTCAGCGTGTCAGCATTTTGAAAAACTCTAATTTAACTCTGGTGCCGTGTCACATATAGAAATTTTTGGATATCTGCAACCATAGTAAAAAAAAGATTCATATTTTTGATATTTATTTTATATATTTAAATGCCATTTAACAAAGAAAAATCAACCAAAAAAATGAGTTCGCATGTCACCTCTGACACGCGTGTTATAGGTTCGCCATCATTGGCAGTCTCTACACTTACCTCCCCGTTCTACATTTTCACCCACTTATACCTGGCCTCCCAAATTGGCAGGAGTGCTGCAGAATTTAGTTTTGAATAAGTTTATGTTTCCTAATCTAATTTTATTTCACTGTTTTTACAGCCTTTGAATTTTTTTTTCTTCTTTTCAATTCTACCAGATTTTCCTATCGCAGCTGGGAGGGGAGAGAAAGAAGGCAGGCAACTATTGTCATAAGAAAAACTATTTTGCTGAGAAGTTTACTAAAGGTAAGAGCCACTTTTGATGGCTTTTTCAGTAAGAAGCTTTACTTCCCCTTCATTTCAAATAGCCTTCATTTTTCTGCTCTTTTTAAAAAGTGTATTTGCAAACTACTCCCCCCAACTAAAAGGTAGGTATAAAACAACACTGGATCAAAACAATACATGTTTAGGAATCTATCCTAACAGGACAAATGCATGGGGGTATATGTACAAAATACAAATTTTTTAAGTACTATATAGCAGAAATTCTGAGTCTAATTCATTAATGGTTTGATAATCGTGGGAAATCCATAAAATGGCATAGTATTCAGCTATGGCAAAGTAGGTATATACCTAACAGAGAAGCATGTGGTATACTGTTACTTTTTTTTAAATGGAGGCTTCAAATCATAGCATTTACTTATTTTTGTACCATATTTTTTAAATGATCATGCATTACTTGAATAAATGTTGTGGGGGTTTTTTTTAATCAAGGGGAGAAATAGGACCTTAAGTGTCTAACGGATTATTTTTCCTATACTAAATAACATTGCCTTTCACTTAGTTTATTATTACCTGGCGAAGCTGGTCCACTGAGGAGAAATGCATTTGGCTGTGCATCAGAAGTACAACATGGATCCGTCTGTTGAAAACTAGTTTCTAAATGTCTTCTCTTCTGCATGCGTTTATACTCTTGTTTTATGTTGTACAGAATTTGTTCTAAAAGAAAAAAGTTAAAAGTTGGCAAGATAAACTTTCAAGTTTTTAAAAAAGCGTTGTTTATATCAATTAGCTTATGGTAAAAACTGGTTTTGTTATATGTCGTTCCACTGAATGTCACAGAACCTGTCAATGATGTAAAGTGAGGACTTACTATACATCTTTAAGAAGTTAGTAATTCCAATCCAAAGCCAAACAAAAATTAAAAGTGAGAACTGTCATTCAGCAAAATGACAGAATACATGGGAACTTAATTATCACATATTAAATGGGAATAGCCATTTAATGGTAAAAGCTCAACAGAACCTATGACAATGAAAGCATTAACAGCAAACTTTTGTTCTGAATATTTGGAGTAAAAACCCATGTAAAATGCTTGGTATGTCACAGGTAATTAGTTAGAATCACTATACCATGGTGCCATTATCTTCAACCATAACCATGGAAGCAGGGATAAAATTATATCAAGCATATCCCTAAGGTGAGTATGATTCACTTTAGAACAATTTCCAATTCAAAATAGTTACCATTTAGCCTCTCCAGAAAACCCCTCCTTGAGGTTCCAATGTCCCTCCTAATAGACTTTCTCACAACCACCACAGCCCCTAAATTAATAGGCTACCCATCTGAAACTACAGGTCTTTTTATAACATCATTTCATTGAATGTTGTTTTAAAACAACATTGATGAGAATCAATTAGCCATGGTAAAACTAATTTAGTTGTACTTCAATGATGTGAAGTGAGGACTTACTGTACATCCCAAAAGTTAATAATGCCAATCCAAAGCAAAATTAAACAAAAATTAAAAGTTATGGTAACTAAGAGGCAATAATATGATCATAAATATAACAGAGTGTAACTATCAATTATACAATGATGGATTAATTTAAATATGAACTAAAAACTCACTGAAGGCTAGCAATTTTTATAAGATAAGAATGATCCTTTAAAAAATATTTCAGACTGGTGGTTTTCTTAGGTATATATTTAATTTTCTTTTCTCACTTTATATTGTTTCCTAGTAAGTGTCCTTTTAGGGCTTTTGAGAGATAGACTAAGCAGACATCAATCACTCCTTTGAACATTATAGATTATGCCATTTCATTATTTTAACTGAAAAAAGGGGGAAGAAAAATTGCAAGAGATATATTCAGTGAAGATTTCATTTATGTAAATTTTGTGTGCAAACAAACCTGTTTACATATAGATGAATGTGCAGTGTAAGTACAAAAATAACACTTTGGAATAATTAACTTTTAGGGTAGTTGTGTGAGGGATGCTTTAGCTTTATTTTTCACAATATTAACATTTGTTTATGTCAAAGTTATTTTCAGTCTTGATCCATTTATTTGCAATAGTTTATAATTTAAAATCAAAGTTACCAGTGAAATAAAATGGCTGTCTATTTGAACAGTTAAGCACCTTAATAGAAATGGGTTTCCTAAGATTCACATGTGTCCATTAAAACTGGTGCAACATCCTATACCAACCAGGACAAGCTCAAGTATCCTTATTTTTTAACACTTTCAATAGCAATATTGTAAAAGGTTTCAAAGTTATGATGATTTAGTCTCATTCATTTTTTATTTTCTGCTGAAAGCTAACATCATCGCCATCAGGAGTGCCATTCAAAGCATCCTAAAGTTTATTCACAACCAGAGATTTCAAATGTACTAGGCACAGAGTAAGTAACCTGACCTTAACATCTCTTATATGATTTATTCTTTGATCACCACACAGCTGTTCTCACAGTACTTAGTCTTCCTTTTGTTTCACAAAGTCAACAAAAGCATAACTAAGATGTACCAAAAGAATAGTTATAACAAGCAATTTGTTCCTTTAATACTCTCAAAAAATATCTAGCCTGGGATTAATATATGGTAAAATTTATCCTGGCCAGGTGGCTCAGTTGGTTGGAGCATAGTCTCATACACCAAAAAGGTTGAGGGTTCCAATACCGTCAGGGAGCTAACAAAAGGCAAACCAATCAATGTTTCTCTCCCAGCCTCTTCCTCTTTCTAAAATCAATCAACATATCCTCAGGTGAGGATTAAAAAAAAAAGATACAAACTTTTAAAATTTTAGCTTTATAAACGTCCATACCATCTTAAGAAGAATCAAACAAGCTAAGGATTTTTTTAAGATATAATTTACAAACTAGTTCACCAATTTAAATGTACTACTAGTACATCTAACAGGATGCAACTATGTCATCCAAGCCTCAATGTGCCCTCAAATGCTCTAATACTGGTAACATGTGAATAACTTAACCAAGACCTTAGCAACACAAATAGCAAAAGGCTAATAACTGCAAGCCTCAAACTTAATCCTCTATCTCAGTTCAGAGTGAAAGCAATTTTGAAGCTGGTAACTCAAGAAATTTCCCTAGATTCAATTTAATACCACAACACACATAGTAAGCTCAGCCTAGATATTTGTCTGACTTAAGTTGCTTTCATACCAGCGGCATAAAGACCTTCCATATATCAATAAAGTACCTATGTCCACTTAATCATAAGCTACTTAAATCTAGCCATCTCTTAGCAAACTAGCAAATGACATTTTATTCTAAGTACATGTAACATCTGACATTGTTTTGCCAACACAATTTGCAGTCCATTAAAGAAAAAGTCAAAGCTTCACTTACACAATCAGTTAGTTGCACATTTGAGTTTTAATCATACAGCTTTCATACTTGACCAGGAAAAATAGATTGAATTTGAAGTGAATCACTTACTAGTAAAATATGTAGTGACTTCATGACAATCTACCACAACAAATGTCTGTATATCGCTTTTCAAAAATCCTACATCACTCTTTTATGAATACTGCTAAGACTTTCTTTTTTCCACTGTACCAGATTAAGTAATAATCAGTATTACTAAATAATCAGTATTACTAAATTCTATGACTATAGCTTTTCATTCCCAAATCTAGTAAATGACATTGAGATTGTGAATAAAATTCCCCTCCTTTAACAGGTAGTAGTAGATTATCAATGAGACAACACTTACTCCTTTGGGATATTAAAAGAGAAAAACAAACAGAAACAAAACAAAAAAATCCCAGGTAAATGTGAAAAGAAAAAGCCTGAGTTGATGAGGGTAAGAGAAATAGCATTAAGATGGGACTGAGAGCAAAAGGAGAAATATGGAATTAGAAGCAACTAAAAATGTGTTTAGAGGACAAAAAAATTGTAGGAAGGGAGGAATCAAGTATCTTTTTCTAGAGTAGAGGCCACAAAATGTCTAAACATCTGTGATACTAAACTTTTGGTCTGGACGTATACACTTACTAGTTTTCCTACTGACATCATTAATAGATAAAACACTAAGTTTCATTAACTGTTTTAAGTGTAGAATAATACCCTTTTTTTCACATTGTGTACTAATTTTTCTATGGCATATCTTTGAAAACACAAAGTGAAAGTTCATTTAGACAGATGACTCCAACAGTGGGACTAAAATAATAAAATAAATCTTGAAAGTCTGTCAGCTCCAGGCAGGAACACAAAGCTAATGGAAAGCCTATACACAAGTACAGAAAACCTGCAGTAGCCATTAAAACCTAAAACTAAGAAAATGTTCCAAATTAAGACCAAATCTAAAGCTTTGAACTATATACTAGCATGTCATGCCTACTTTATAAATTAAAACACTCAATTAACAGTTGCTATGGAGACCCATTTTTTGTAAATCAATTATTTTCCCATGATCATCTGTTCAGAAACAGTTCTCACACTCTCCTTGAAGGAATCCTTAAGAACAATGTTCTTATCCAGCCAAGAGCTATGTAAGTAAAAAGAATGTGCTGATGCTGTTTTTAATTCACTTTAAAATTATTGCTATGTCAAAGGGACCTGAAACCAAATTTTAACCAAAAAATTGTAAAGTTATATCTACAGTCTTAACTTCTACTTGGATTAGCATGAATCCTAACAAGCGTAATATAGTTGCACACAATTATATAACATTAGGGTATTATTTACAGTTCTTTTAAAAAAAAGTACATTCTATAATATTTTAATGTATAAGAAGCATTCATTGGTTTCCTACAGGAGGAAGAAAAACTATAATCATTACAGGTCAAATTCTATTATTTCACTGGTACTATAATAGCCATTGAGTATTTTTTTTTGAAATGACTCCATCTGTTAAAACCCTGCCAGGCCTAAGTATAAATTTCACAAATTAACTGCACAATGGGAGTCACTAATGCAAGGAGTCCAACAATCCTCAACCAGCAGATGTCTCTTCCCTGATATCCAAGAAGCTTCATACCTCTATTTAATATTACACTAGATAGATTCTAAAGGGGTATGTTAACCCTGTTGCTTTTGCTGTTCAGCTCTTTACTATCTGTAAGTATCTCTTCAAATAGCTTACAAACTAGAAAAATACAGAGTAATAAGAACAAAAAAGCAGTCTTATCCAAAAAAAATGGATAAGAGAAAGGGGAAAGTGAACCATCCAAATCTAAATCCTCAAGCATGCATGTTACAGAAGCTTTGATTCCAATTTACCATGGCCATCATAAGGTAAGCCTTGGAAGGACAGACAGCACAATCAACCTGAAGAACAAACCAGTCTTCTACAACAAGTTATTAGGACACCCAAATCACATATACATTGCTATAGCATACCTGGAAACCAGGTTGCAAACTGATGATTGACAGACTAAAGACATGTCTGGCTTGAATGCTTAAAACAAGTATGAACTTGTGGCTGTCATTTAAAAGTTGGGTATTTTACATTAAAAGTCAGGTTTTTGGCTACGTTGGGGTGAGAGAGGAATTGGGAATGGTAAAATTCAGCTAAGAATAGCTGCAACCTTTTGGGCATAAGTTCTCAAGAGCTTTTAAACTTCAAATGAATACATAAATCACCTAGGGATTTTTTTTTTAATGAAGACGGGAATGGAGCCTCAGATTCTGCATTTTTAATAAATTTCCAGGTGATGCTGCTGATCAATAGCAAGGTTGGAACTCACTGGTTCCCAC